AAAGGTTGATCTTTGTCCCAGTATTGTCTTCTGTCGTCACGTATCTTGTCATTTTGTCTTGTGTATTAAACCAAACTTGCATCTATTGTCCTTCCACATCTGTTTTTAAACTCGCTCTGTTACGCTGTTATTTCATTTTCATTTTCATTTTGCAGCGCAGGGTGGGGCAGTAAGAGCGCAAGTCAATCCAAGGCCGATAGTAAAGGAGGGAGAATGGCTGACTTGTCACATGCAGGGTACATGATCGCGATGGGAAGGGATAATGATTAGATTGGATGTTGGAGGTTTTTTGGATTGAGTTGGCCACGATGCTACAAAATGGTATGGAATGTGTTAGCTGGAAATAATTTTAAATTTGAATGAGTTATTTAATTATATAAGAATTCATTATTGAGAATTCTGCTCTGCTATGAATGAAATTTGAAAATTATATAATGATGCTTTCATATCATTAGCGTTGTTACGGTATATTTCGTAGATTGGATTTAGTGTTTGTGCATTTTAAAGTTTATGGTTTATTGAGAGGTGAGGAATAGTTCCAATGCGATAACGAAAAATATTTCAACTTTTGGTTATTACGGCGCTTTATGATCGCCGGGCTTCTAGATGGTGGTTTATTCTGTAGTGGGACAGCTTGGGATTAAACCCATGATTTTCTGCTCAGTAAGCAAAACCGATTCCTCCAGGGTCATCGAGCATCTCAAAACTACAACACTCCACGACAAAATAAGATTAGATTTTTGTTTGGTATGTAATGAACAACAGAGATACGCGATAATTCATATAGTTTCTACGGTTGATGGCTAATAAGCTAATACCAGTGAGAAGCTACAATATCCCCCTACCAGATACAGTCAATTGCATAACAATCCAACTCCCACTACAAACAATCAACAAATTCCTGACCAGCCTCATCCTATCATTACTGATTGAATTTTCTTTCTTCCCTAAAATTCACTTGTTAGCAAACACATGATCGAAGATCTGATTACTATTTGTATTGGTTGAAATAACAACTTCCCAAGTTAAATTAAATTTGGCACAGCATGGGCACATACATCGGCACACCTTCGGCACAATCTCTTAGGCATTGGATTATTTTGAATAAAATGGGAGCACTGCTGGACAACTGTCATTGAAGTTGTTAACAAAATTACGAGCTATTTCAGGAACATCCTCTCTAATTGAATATACCAGAGGAACTCAGACCAGCAGTTAACTTATAGATCTAAATACGAAATGTAGGTTCTAGAGTGGGCTCAAGAGAAAGAGGCAGTTAATCAGACCCATTAATACCTTTAATTCAAATAATGCTGTAACTCACACAAAACAAACTACAGAAGTCTATTCATCATCCTCTATAGTCGAACTCGAACCATGTTCCCCACCGGTTTCAACTCTTTCCGGCCGCTAACAATATCATGCAAAGATAGTCATCTGGTCTGCCTTTGAGGGCATTATAAAACCCTAAAAAACAGGACTTTTACTATCATATGAACACAAAACACCAAAATTTCACACACCCGCCACTTCCTGCGTCATCATTCAACTGCCCATAATCGCAAGTCAGTCCCATCTGTAAAAAACTGGAAATGAGAAAACGGCGTTCAAAGATTTTTCAAGTTTTCTGATTTGACACTTATTTTGGAGGGATAAATTTAAAAATAAACGTACAATATGATAGAATGCATCTATGTTTACCCAAAAATATTGGAAAAATATCGTGAAATTTTTATTTTATGGCCAAAATCTGAGTGGGACTGACTTGCGATTACATTTAACGTCAATGAGGAAAATAACCGCAAGTCAGTCACAATTCCATGCCGATGCTGTATTAGTTTAAGCACAGTATTGAACAGTAGAAAGATACTATGGTCCCATAGAACGTTATTGAATGTTTTTAGATTTGTTCCGCTGGTTCCAGAGCAATGGCCGGAACATATTCCGGTGAGTATGGGTCTTCATCAGACCAGAGCCAAACGTGCCAAACTCTCCATGCGATAAATCAATTCACATGAGAATTCAAAAATAAGATCAATAAGAGTCATGATGAGTGACCAGCACCATGTTGGCCACACCCGAACATGTTCCGGGTATACCCGGGGAAGTGGTAAATCCTTTTAAATTAAAATCCATCAAGCGATACATCAAATCACATGATAATTCAAAGCCATATCCATTGGCGGTCAAATTGAGTATCGTAAGAACTATATTGGCCACATCCGGACATGTTCCAGATACCCTAGGGGAAGTGGACAAAAGCTATATTGAGACAAATCTCATGATGCGATGTGTTGTCTAACATTTCTGATAAATTTTTTTCTAATGGGACTGACTTGCGGTTACTTTTCGCTGTGGGACAATTTGACTTGGTATTGTTTTTCAGTTTTCTTGAACAAACCACATTTTTTCAATAGCACATCTCAAAAAACAGAATGATAAACTGAATAATGATGCTAACTCAAAATTGATAAAAATGCAGATGGGACTGACTTGCGATTACCGGCAGTCAAGGTGTCAGAAATACCGGGTAGCCGCGATGGGTATTTTACAAACAATCGCAGCTTGCTCTATGGCCAGTACAATCAGTACAATCGACACTGACAAAAAAGATGACCCAAGATTGGTGTGCGGAGTGACCTGACCCTTGCAACTTCCACTATTGCCTATAACTACAAATAAACAATATGGGGAGATGTATTCTACATATTTAAGGTCTAGTTGCCTTCCTATGCGGAACAAACCCCCCCTCCCCCTCCCCCCGCATCCTATTCTTCCCACGAGAACAGCCTAAAAGTAATATTTCTCTCTATCTCCTTATTATGCTACATTTCTACATTGATCCGCAAAATTTATCTTGTCTTTGTACGTCTTAAGTAATACTTTCCTGTGATAAAATGCTTCATTCCGAGATTAGTTTCCTACCTGAAATATATTTTGTTTAGGGTCAGTATTTCCATCACGACCATCTGCCGCCATCCCAACGCACCCTGGCATGATAAATGGTACAGCTATCCCCCGAAGAACACGTTACCCACTGAGTTGCACCCACCGCTTTTTCTCGGCGGGGTTTCTACCAGACCGTCTGATTTTTTGCATGTGAGTAGGTATACCTATATGGTCAATGGAGAACTATTATAGTATACTACTATTAGAACTATTATAGTATACTCACATGCAAAAAATCAGACCGACTTGTTGCAACCCCGCCGAGAAAAAGCGGTGGGTGCAACTCAGTGGGTAACGCGTTCTTCGGGGGATAGAGAAGAAGATAAGAAGAAGAAAGATGCTTAATACCAAACCTGCAAAATGCGTGTCGATTCAATTGCAATATTGCATTTAAATTCTGCATTTCTTGATTCCAATTCCAATATAAAAGTGTAAATTGTGAGCATCTCAATCATTCTGTAATGGTAATCATACTTCAAAATGTTTTGCTTTCAATAATGATAAAAAACTTTTATCCAGTGGATGAATTCTCAATAAACTGGAAAAATTTCAAACTTGGACTGTTTTACTGGATGCGTCAAAAAAGATTGGAAGAATGCAGTTTAAACTGGAAAGTTGGCATCCCTGCTCGTCAGAATACTTCCTAAAAATTACCAAAACAATTCGCACCATTAAAATTAATTTCGCAAATTTTGTGATAGCACATCAGTCCCTTCACGGTTTTCACGACTGAACGTTCAAATTTCATGTACGATAAGGTGGGGCAAGGTGGGTAAGTTAGTACATTTATTAATTTATTCGTTTGTCAAATACTGAAGCAAAACAAAACTTAAGAATGCCATAAGTCATGACTTATAAACCTAGAGAATTTTAGTTTCATAAGACACATAAGCACAACTTATTCACCTACATCCGGAAAGCTTACAGCTCTTTATTTAAAGAGAAAAAAACATCGCGAGGTGACATATTTATAAGATTTGTGTCCCCCATGGATTTAAAATGTTTCATAACATTTCTTCAACGTCCTTTTTATCAACCTTTTTGGAGGTAGTTCACTGATTCAATTTTTGTATGGCTATCAATGCATATTTAAATGATATGATGACTCATAATGAATTGCATCAGTTGTAAAATATTGTAAAACTAAGCAATTAAACCAAGCTTCCATAAGACATAGAGGTGCTTTTTCAACTCTGAGTAAATCATCACTCAATGTGCAACTTATATCAAACTTTAAATTTCTTTTGATTTTATTTCATACATTGCATTTATGTGTCTCAATAGTTTAATCTAAATCTCAATAAAAAATAAATAGAAAAAAACACTTCATGAAATAAATATTAATCAAATAGTAAATAAACGAGAAAAAAATTTAATTAAGTAAAAACATCTTAACCTGAAAAAGAATTAAACAATTTAATCGATAATTGAAATAATCTAAAGAAACAATTTAAAAAAATGCCAATTAACGGAGGAAGTAAATTTACTGAGTAATTAAAGGTTCATAACGCTTGAACGAACAAGAAAGTTTCCAAGTAGGAAAATAACACTTGTGAGGAACGAAACTGAACCACATAAGAGAGTTTACGAGGAAAATCACGTAGGCGAAAGCTAGAAGTGAAAATGGTTAGTGGTGTTGTGTTTTTATCACAACAGCAACAGCACCACCTACCCAGCTACCTACTCAGCCATCCCACTCTCTTCTCAGCGAAGCACCTATTTTTTCGCATCACGCTTTATAGCATTGGCGCTTACAAACAATAAACAAAAATCTTTAATTATAAACAAAACTTCCCAAACTTTTCCACAGGTGCAACATAAACTTAAATGGGATTCCCGGGAATTTCATCCACCCCCGAAATCGGTACCGTGGAATACCTAGAGACACTCAAACGAATCGGTGACTCCTTTTTCACCTGTGAAGCAGTCAATACTTTTCGGATAGTGGCAGGAACGGGAAAAAATATATATTCGCTACAGACGGCTTCACGGACAGCCAACCTGCCAATTCCCACGTAATTCACACTGTTTTATGCTTAATTTGCACTCACCTGCTCCAGCGGTAGATTTTCATTCGATTAAAACATTTTCCGATCGGTTTCACAATCGATTCACGCACGAAAAAACACTTTTTCTGCACCGCCGACGGGTGCACCGAAATTTTCACTCTGTTTTGATTTTCTAAAATGGCTACGCTTTTTGACATCAACACAAACACCACCGTGAAGCGAAAAAGACTCGTCAGATAAACTCACAAGCGCTGTTGGTGTATGTGAAGGCGGCTTTCCAGAAATAAATGACAGGCGGCTACAGGGTGCCGAAAGCGGCCTAATATTTTTAAAACGTAACGTGTCCTGCTTTGTGATGTACAGCTTGAAAAACCTGTTAAATCCGGAGTGAGCTATTTCTAAAGGCCCACCCACATTAGATCCGGATCGGACGCGTTGCGGCAAAGAGACAGCTAAATCTATTGTCTTACTGTCAAATTTACGTCAAGGCAACGCAAACGGATCTAATGTGGGTGGCCCTTAATACAAAAAATACCATACCCGAACAAAAACCCCAATGGTCGAACTATTCCGTAAATGGTTTGGATGATACCCTGAACATGTCGTAAAGCAAAATGACATACAAATTTTATGAGGGATGTTTAAACCAGACTACGGATACGGAGTTATATTGAAGAACCTCCCCAAAATTTCACGCGACCTTTCCCGCATAAATGCGAACCATTACTCGACCTTACCGAAAATGGTTAAAAATTGTTTATAATCCCTGCTAAACTTTATCTGAAATGGTTATGGAACTCGAGGGAACTTTACATGAACCATGAACGTTTGTGTGATAAAATTTCAACCTTATGTATTAAGGGTTTTTTTTTTTAAGTGAACCTTAACCCTAGCCTTAACCTTAATGGGTTGTTAAGAACCATTGCCATTCCAAATTCTTGTTTTATCCATTCATTTTTGATAAAGGAATTATATTGGAACCTTTTTATTTATGATTTGGGAACTTTAACGGTAATGGTTATGGTAGTCGGTGAGGTTCATATATGGTTTTGTAACATCCATCAACATTATTTGGAATCCCAACAAACAATTCAGAGTCACAAATAAGCATACATATTGAATAAATGCTGTATAACACTGTACAGTGCTGAATAAAACGGGATGTCGAATTATGTGCTGAAAAAACCTCATTGAGAGCGATTGATGCGCCTTTATTCCGTTGTTAGCTCTGATCTGATTTATTTACTATTTAAAAGCTTTATAAACGTTGACTGTCTTCCTGATTCCACACCAGAAGTTTAATTCAATAACAAACTGAATAAGTGTGCGACTTCCTTGACTTGTAACAGAGCTTATTCGATCAATTTTTTTTTATTATTCTTGTTTATTAAACGCTGTACAGACTAAAGAGTTAAAACATGTTATAACGGTAGTCAAATAATTGCAACACAGAAACCACCATCAAGAAAGCGCTATAACATGTTATAACTCTGTAATCTGAACGTAATATAATATCGTCAAGAAGTCGTTTGTTCAATAGGCGATTGTTTTTTGGGATATATCGCGGCAACCATGTAAATTACTGTTTACCAATTCGCGATACATTCCACGTAAAGTTGACCGATAATACAAAACCATTAATGGATCTTACTGGCTACCATAACCATTGCAGATAAAGTTCTCAAACTATAAATAAAAAACTCGGTAAAAAGGATCTAATATCACCGACAAACAGACATAACACTAGCAAGTTGTTCATCGAACAAGCATTTAACCACAGACAAACAGACATAACAGTCGCAAGTTGTTCATCGAACAAGCATTTAACGGTCAATTTAAAAGTATCGTAGTTGGTAGTACCGCCACCTGTGGCGCGCATATTCAATTCTCTTGTGTTTGACGTTTACACACTACCGCCATCTGTTCAGCGTACTACCCACCACAGTGTATTCAACAGATGGCGGTAATGTTTTAGCGACGATGTTTTACAGTGAGCAATATTCAATGTGTTACGTCTGTTTGTCTGTGATTTAACGGCCAATTTAAAAGTATCGTAGTTGGTAGTACCGCCACCTGTGGCGCGCATAGTTAATTCCCTTGCGTTTGACGTTTACACCCTACCGCCATCTGTTCAGCGTACTACCCACCACACTGTGTTCAACAGATGGCGGTAATGTTTTAGCGACGATGTTTTATAGTGATAAATATTCAATGTGTTATGTCTGTTTGTCTGTGCTAATATAGTTCTCTCTCCGAAAATGTATGGATATCTCGAGAAAACAACTATTTTGCATGGTAATGGCTCTTAACAACTTCCAAAGAACCTTAATACATAAGGTTAAAACTTTATCACACAAACTTTCATGTAAAGTTCCATAACCATTTCAGTTAATGTTTAGCAGGGATTATAAATAAATTTTAACCATTTTCTGTAAGGTCATGTTATGGTTCGAGTTTATGCGGGTTGCTCTACCTAATAAAAATAACTATAAAAGAGAGCTTCGGGTATCATCCAAACCATTTGTGGGATAGTTTACCCATCCGGGATACAGTTCATTTATGGTATTTACACATTTGTCTGTGGTATTTATTTATTATAGGACTAGCAAACGACGCGTCACACTTTGCATAATTTTGTTAGCTGTTTAATCAAATCCGGCGATGACAAACGTTCGGAATAATATACATAAATTCGGTATGAGAAGTGTTTACACTCACAATATTTAACTCTACTTCACGACAAAACTGTATAGTGATTATTTAGTAGTTGGGAAAAGTTTGATAAGCGCATTTCAACTTAATACTCAGCTAAACAGCTGAGTATTTAGAAGTGTTAACGAATATGGAATTATGGGATGTGACCAAAACTAGCTGCCTAAAAGTTCACCAGATTTGCTTGTAAAATTGTGTAACAGTTGCCGCATATCGTAAAGTGTTGCAATCTCGGTTGCTATGCAGCTTGAGGCTGTAAAATCGAAATTGATAAAGTGTTTACATGTACTTAAAATGTTAGTTGGGATGTTGACTCATAAAATGTATGATCAACATGATTTTGTTATGTATTTTCCTCGGATTTTTACTGACACGCTCTCACATATCGCACTAATGCAACCGGACCGGAATTATACTAGGACGTAATAAAAGCCACGGAAGAATATCCTACCCCTACCTAAAGAACTCGTTTTTCTCACACTGTGGTATAAATTCCGGCTACGTACCGAGTGAGTCATATCCTACATCCATACATTTATTCATAAAAAGAATTAGTTTATTTAATGCGAGATTTAATGTACCTTACGTCTATCTACTACTAAAAAATAAATCTACGATGGTTGCACATTCATCATTCCCTCAAGGAACATCAGAGTATCGACTGATTGTATCGTCAAATCCACGTCCCGCTTAGAAATGGTTTTCTTTTTACCAGCCACAGTATGCGTGTAGAATTCTTTCGCCATAGTCTGCACGAACAGCTCTGCAGCACGGGTTACCAGGAAAATTGCTTGTCCCGAGATTACCTGTACGTCGGGATCGAATTTCATGATCTGCTTTATTTTGCTTAGCGGAAATTGTACCAACCGTGGTCCTGAAAAACAAGTACTCATGAGGGCATACCTTCCTACGTTGTTGTATTTACCCCAGTTAGTTACCTTTACTGCTTGCCTCTGAGACTTGGGCCGACTCTTCATGATTTTCATCGAGATCTGGTGTTTCTTCTGCGGCCAATTCCTCCTGTATGTCCAAGGCCACCGGTACCGTAGGTTCAATCACTTCTTCCTCTGCATCTTGGTCACCATGAAGTAATTCTTCAGTATGCACTTGATTGACTTGGTCAGATGAAGGCTCGGTACCGAAATCTATTTCCTCGGAATCAATAAATCCAGGAATTTCTCCAGATTTCTCCACAGTTTGGTAATCCTCAGTTGTCTCCATGTTTAAGTGATCTGATGTTTACAAATTTCGCGCCATTTTTATGCAACATCACTGACGTTACTTTTCCTACCGAAAGCGTTACGAACAGCTGGCTGGCATGCCGCCATGTTATTGAAACCAACATCTGAAACGTCACAATTCCAGTGTGAACTGCAAAAATGGCGTGACTGAATTGTCTTATTTTTATCAAATGAAATTATTTTCCCTTTTATGGTTGACTTCGTGGAAGAAAATCAGAAAATAATATTTTATGAGTCCTAAGTTTATTTTTCACAAAATGTAAGCAAAAATATTAAGAATATCCATAATATCAGTCACGCCTTTTTTGAAATTCTGGCTTGAATCTTCTATTTGTTTACAAATTATGAGCTGTCAGTGGGGCCCGCAATTCGCGGGTCCGCAGCGATGTTAGCTCTTTTCAAGGCAAGGCAAACAAGATAGGGATGCCAGCTAGCTGGTTACGAAACAGCAACGATGTATATGTCAAGCTCTCTCACACACAATCGCATAAAAAAAAACGTGCAAAAATCGCAGACCCAAAACAAAACAAAAAACCACTCATAACAATATTGTGTAAGATCGTGAAATTAGGTTGATTTTTCCAAAAGAAGTGTTCTCGCATTCAACATAAAGAAATGTCTCAAATATCCATAAGTCTTCTTCACTGGTAAGTAGCACTAACTAAAATTTGGATTGGGTTTCGTCACATATTTTGGGATTCGTGCTGCAACGCATTGTTTTGCTTTTAGCAGGAGCATTCTATCCCGGCATCATACACGCATTCGTTTCTTCAGTGCAGCAAATAAAGCCTTCAAGAAATCAGAAATCACTACCGAAGGAGAACAGATTAAAGATGAACCGATCAAGTATTTCAGCAGTCCTGCGGCTCAATGGAAGGCTGAGCAAACCAGAAGCGGCCAAAACAAACCGGACATGCCCTGGTATCAACCGTATGTAGTTAACCTTAGCGTAGCAATTTTCCTGCTGTATTTTTGTGTGTTGCGTGAGGAAAACGATATTGATCGAGGATTGGAAAGTTCCTTGTATGATCAAATTCCAGGGCTAGAGCAGAAACAATTGATGGTAAATTACAACTACAACATGGAAAATGGACTGTCTACTGTCGAAATTGAGCAAAGGATGAAGGAACTAGGCATGGAATATTAAAGCAGAACTGATAATAAAGTTCTTAGATACTTATTTCATTGACTGGCCCCTAGATTCGTGATGACATCCTTGATGATATTTTCCACTTGTGGGAATAAAGGTGTAACAAGCTCTTTCGTTTTTTTTTCGGGAGCAGGGGTGGCATAACTCATTCTTTTTAATAAATATTGTCAATTCAGAGACAAATTAGGATTTGGCGGCAGATTATCTGCTTTAATAGCATGCTATGGCTGTCAGTTGCGTCGGATTGTTTTCTCTGAAACGGCAATATATATATAAAAAAAACTAAGCTGGTCCCAAGCCGCCAGTTTGACACCAACAAACAAAAAAACTAACGTTAAGTCCAATAGACTTTTTTTTTTATTATTAAGTTCGTACGCTCTCAACCAAACTTCATAATTGTCGTACCGTAGAGCCACACTTGGTGTTTTCACTGAAGCAAACCCCACACGCATCAATATATTGACGCGAAGGGGAATTATTGACAATAATATTGATGATGTGAATCCAGAAATATTGTCAATCTCGATGTATTGACGTCAATATAGAATGTATGGACAATACGATTATTGTCAATAAAAGCAATCATGTAGGGTCCACTTGAAGGTATTACACACCAGGGTTCACCTTCAGTGAAAACACGGAGTGTGGCTCTACGGTGCGAAAATTGTGAAGTTTTATAGGGAGAATACTAGGTATAATCTATCTGTTTTAAGATGGATAACTAACTAATAAGTAAATTGTTAGTTTTCTATGTTAAAAAGGATGAAGGGGAAAGAATCTCATAGCAGCGTATATTATTTTCTATATCTTCTTCTCTTTCTGTTAAGTACTAGGGGGCCGTTCATAAGTCACGTATAATGTTTAGAGGGAGAGACTTAAACAATATAATAATATTATAGTCATGGGCGTACATTTTCCGAATCTTTTGCGAAAAAAAAAAATATTGTTGGAAGGCATTTGCTGACAAAGCAGTTTCACAATACTTTGCACTTAACAAGAAATACATTTATGTGTCGTATTTTGCTCTATCATATGTATTCAAACAGTGTAGTTGATATTTGGGCATCAACATCTGTATTACTGATCGTACAAGCTTAAGTTTTCTGTTGAAGTAATTGCAAGCAGCGCGCAAGTGTCGCTTCGTATAGTGTCTTACATTTTAGAGGATCTTTTGGACGCTTTCATACATGTTTGAAAGAATTTATAAATTTGCATCGCATACTGGTAAAATGTTTTAGTGAAAATAGTTTAGAAAGCGTACTGATGAAATAAAATTAATGACTGAATGTTTTATCATACTGAATCGTATTAGTATCAAGTTTCTAAGTTTTCACAATAGTACTGTAAAACCAAAAATATAACTGATCTGTTTTGTGGATGCCAACAAATAAGCTGGGAGGCTAAACAAGTGTATATATTCAAATCGACGTATCTGCTTTTGTAAACAATCAATTCAATCGTCGATTTGTCTTAACTGCTAACTCACCCATGCAAACAAACACCATCATCAGGTATATGAGAATGATGAGAATCTTTCCCCCACTAGCTGGTGTTGTTAGTTTCTGTGAGTGAGCTAGCAGTTGCCACAAATCATCGATTGAAGTGTTACGCTTGTAATATTCTTGTATTCATATTGAATATATAATCTGCAAAAGTTGATTTAAAATTATGAATATAATCGAAGACAACATATCAAGATTCCAAGCAACAGATGCAGTAGCGCCATAGAGGTAACTCTAAGACTAGAAGGTCCCGAAATAACGTGCTCAACTTTTTGGCTCAGCTCTGGTACTCTCTTCGGTCCCAAGCTAATCGATTCACCCCTCGAAACATAAGAAAAACCAATAACCCCTCATTTTATCTGTCAAACTTTCATAGCGAATCACAACAAACATTGCGTAGTACTAGAATTTCGACTAGAATGGGGTACGTTAATCGTTTGCTTGGGACCAATAGGCTAGTCAAGTAGTGAGCCAATTTAAAATCGTTAGTTTCGTATTGATTGTTGGGAGCGCTGCGCTCGAGCAAAGGTAGAAGTAATGCATAGAAAAATGAGCAAATACACAAACCTTTCTTCTCAGATTGTAATCTTTGCTATCAAATCGTTCGAAGCATTTACCTTTGAGCGGCAGATGACGCAATTGTTTTGGTCTTATAGTCCATTCTATGTGCGCGAGTATTGATGGTCCGAAAGTGAGGATAACAATTGATAAATCAAAGTTGGCACTCGTGGAGAATAGATGAACTATTAGTGTGATGATGGTTTCAAAATTTTACACTGTGAGGTATACGAGTGCAATCTTAAAATGCTTTTATTTTTCAAATGAAGCATTTTATTTTAATCTGGTTAATGCTACGTTAGTAGAAAATTTGAGGACTACTCAATAGACATATAATATAGAAAAAAATAATATCTTTTCAGATTTTTAGGTGTATACATAGATTTCAACTTTTCTACCACTGTAGCAGCAACCAGAATTAAATAAAATGCTCCATTTGCAAAATAAAAGCATTTTAAGATTGCATTCGTATATCTCCCCGTGGAAAATTTTGAAACCATCATCACTTTCATAGTTCTTCTATTCTCCACGAGTGCCAACTTTGATTTGCCAATTACGCCCGGAGATTTTTTGGTCTTCTTTTTGTTCGTTGTTTACACGTGAAATATATTTCAATCGGATGCATTTCAAATGAATAGGGCGTGACTAGTTACTACAGAATCAGTTCATTTTGCATATTAAAACAATATAATTCGTTGTTTTGGTGCAAGGCGTAACAACCAGATGTATCATAGAGTTGAAAATTGAAAATACGCCATGTAAAAGGAAACGTTTTTGATGATTTTGATGAAATGATATTTTCTTCTACTTTTTCGTGTTTATCGAGTAGTTTGTGGACTGTTCTCTCTATATAAGGCAAAGTATGGTTTGTTTACATGTTGGCTCTTCCGCTCCTTTCAAATGTTAGTCTAGAATTTAGATCTCACTTTGCTTTCTTATCGTTTGCTCGTTTCCTCTCGTTCTAGGATTTTAATGCAAAACAGCGTTCATGAAATGTTTAACGATTGTTCTGATTACACTATTCAATATCCAAACAGCCCAACATGCTTTTCTTCAGCAAGAAATCCATCAACTATTGATTTTGTCTCAACTGATTCATGTCAACTTTGTAGTAAATTGGTTACCCATGCTGACTTCGGTTCACCTTCATCATCACCTTCCAGTAACTTTTGAAATATCCCAAGAAAAAATTTCTAATCCCAACAGCTTCCCAACTTTCAATTACCATAGAGCTGATTAGGAGCAATATCGGACATTTATGGAATATAACCATAGAGGTAACTCTAAGACTAGTAGGTCCCGAAGAAACGTGCTCAACTTTTTGGCTCAGCTCTGGTACTATCTTCGGTCCCAAGCTAATCGATGCACCCCTCGAAATATGGGAAAATCAACAACCCCTCATTTTATCTGTCAAACTTTCATAGAGAATCAAAACAACATGCCTTTGCAAACCAAACATAATATAAATAATGCTCTTGGATGTCTGACTACTTCTATAGTTGTAGCAAGAGCTGCCTCAGTACCAAAATTCGAGGTTAAATTCGAGGTTAAATTCGATTCACGACGATGTTCAGCTCTTGATCCGTCTGAAAAATGTCCGTAGGACGCAATATCAAAGAACACGCGATCCTGCCTTGAAAGTTATCTGGCGGGGTTTACAAATACGATTCTTTGCCCTGAGGTACATAATGTTTTGAAATTAGTCCCGAATTCCAAACCCTTTTGGAAGCTCACAAACATTAAAAAAAACATCAAAAGCCTATTTCAGCGTGATAAAATTTGGATTACAATTTCAGAAAAGCTCAGAAACTTGCTAAGCAATTTGAGAGTTCCCATAATTTCGATTTGGGTCTTACTAGTCCTATTGAGAATCAGGTTGCTCGGGATTATCTGAATATTTTCTTTCTGAAAATTCCTGGGGAACTGATTTGGACGAGGCAAAATCTATATCTAAAAAAGTTTCAAAAAATGAATGCTCAAGGTGATGATGGAATTTTCTATTCCTCATGAAAAAAAAAACTCCCAGACCTTGTCTTTCTTGTTAAAATTATTTAACAGATGTTTCCATTTAGTATACTTTCCTGATAAATGGAAAAATGCAAAAGTTGTTCCAATTTTTAAGCCGGATAAAAATCCAGCTGAAGCTTCTAGCTACCGTCCAATAAGTTTGCTTTCTTCAATAAGTAAACTTTTTGAACAGATAATTTTAAATAGAATGATGCTTCACATCAATACGAACTCAATTTTTGTAGATGAGCAGTTTGGATTTCGCCATGGGCATTCAACTACTCATCATTTTTTAAGAGTTACCAATTTAATTCGTTCAAACAAATCTGAAGGCGGCTCAACTGGAGTTCATGCTTGGCATACACAGTTGTATACACCAATTGCTCATTTGTTAAAAACTTTTCACTCAGTTGTTGAAATTTGTTTTTTTTTTAAGTAATTGATAGATTAGGATCATAGTTTACAATAGATATGCAAAGAGTAGGTAAATCTTAACATTTGAATCAACACTAATATAGTTATAAATATAAAGTCCGAAATGTGCAGTGAGCATTTCTCACTTCATTTTTATAACGCAAAAATAAATACAGTTTATTACTATAATTAAAATCTACTTTTTTTTTACAAATCTATAACAAGCTTAAACTTTATTCTATTATATCTACTGCTCCAAAAAGAACTATGTTACGTCAACTGTGTGCAAAGTTATTAGCAATTGAGCATTTCGTGACCAAAACTGTGTATGCCAAGCATGCTGGAGTTGCTTTTCTAGACATTCGAAAATGCATTCGACAGTGTTTGTCATGAAGGTTTAATTGCTAAATTGATAAAGTTTAGTTTTCCACTCTATATTAGGAAATGAGTTCAAAATTATTTAACTGGTAGATCTCTACAGTTAGTTTATCAAATTCAAAATCTAAACGACTACCTGGTAGAGCAGGAGTTCCTCGATGAAGAGAATCGAGCAATGTAGTGATGCGTGATGCGAGACTTGTCAATGTCATCAATCGGATGTCAGTTCCCATATGTTTAAATCTAACATACCATGTATTTTTAAGGCAACATTGGGGGTGCAATTTCAAAACCCAAAGTCGGTCGCGGCATGAAAGTGGCAAGAGATAATGGATTTTAATTCTTAATACGCCAATCAATAGGAATTTTTTTACGAATCTGTTAAAATCAAGACTATCCATTTTCCAAAGATCACTTTTGAAAATTGCCCGAATGTGCAACTGTTGCTATGATAATTGAAATTATCATCGATTGCCTTTTTAATGCAAAAAAATTCTTCCCGTATGTTAATAAGAGGGGCTTAAAATTTTTTCAGGACCACACATGACTGATAAAAGAGTTAACTAAAGACTTCAAGTAAGACCTTGTATCCAAGACATATCGTCCAGGATTGACGATATGGACACCGACATAACGAGTTAAGAAATCAATTTAATATTTACTATACTTTTGCTGTGACATCAAAACTACCTTTCGTAATCCTACGTCAAATCTACGGTCGTTTCTTGGATACAACCTCTTACTTTTTTAATCATAATTTCCAACATATTATTGATCAAATTAATCTATAATCGCACAAGGTAACAAGTTAAGATGGTAATATGTGTGCAAAACAATAGGATTCCAATAATTGTGTGCTGTTATAACCTTAAAATCGGCTAGCAAAAATTATCTTCCAGCAGCACACTATGCTTGGGTATGTTCAATTTTCTTAGCATTTGACAGTTCATTGTGGGGCCAATGTGTCTCGAAATGTTCAAAATAATAGAAAAATTTATTATTTTATTATTATTTAGTTGCACTAAAACTTATTTCTAGTCAAACTGATGGGGTGACGGACTTACCCGCACTTCCCCTACTATTTTCGTCCGATTTGGCGTCAATGCACTACTCGAAAGACACGGCAGCTTGGTACAAGTGAAATACGTGAGATGAATCCTCCGAATTGTCCGGAGGTCTGGTCAATAGAAACAATTGGGGCCCTTTCCAAGGGATATCTATGGAAACACTTTAAGGCAGCGAATTCAATCGAAGAATTTGAAAAAGACTGGACCAAAGTGGCAAAAATTTTCAAGGAATCTGTGTTGAAGCTAATGTGCTGAAGCTCATGTGCAGAATACTATAGAAAATATATATGATGCCATTAAATCGGTGAGCGTACACACTTAGATTTTTTGCCGAGATGGGCACCACCGAGCAGCTGGGCATTTTATTTTGCTAGATCTCAGTGATATACTTGCCGAGATTCAGCTAACAAACAGGAATTTTGCCGAGATCTCAGCTAACCAACAAACACATTGCTGAATCTCGGCAAGTTTTTCACTGAGATGCAGCAAAATAAAATACCGAGCTGCTCGGTGGTGCCCATCTCGGCAAAAAATCTAAGTGTTTAGAAAAGTGAATATGAAGTCCAATGATAGAAAACGTGATAGATGGAAATGATGTCATCGAAAGTAAAAAACAGAGGCTTTTCTTGCTGGCTGATAAAAACTGTTACTTTAATATTTTCTCATGCTCAAATCTCTTAAACTCTATGCGGGGTATGAATGGTTGCTTTGTGCGCTACCCTACAAACATGTGTATGATCTGTTGTATGTTTCATTTTGCTCTAATTTGTAATAAGACTTTCTTCCTTTCACTAGTCTGCTGGCTACAATCTAATAATTACAGAGGCATTCATATCGAATTTATTATTACTTCTTCTTTCATTAACAGCATCATTTAGCTCCCTTCAGTTCTGTTCTCACTTCTCAGCAATGATAGATATGTTTTCTCTTGTTTGTAAATCCTCGCATCAAATGTATCTATCATGTTGTAAAAGTTCCTCGCCATTTAGGTAAACTTTATGCAACGAAAGCAATCATTTTCTGAACATTGTTGTTTAACGTGCGGTCGCCACCGAACGGTATTCCATGTTAACGTCTGTTTGCTGCTGTTCTGCTCGCTCTCAGGTAAACAGCATAACAATGTTACCATTATCTGATTTCACGGTTAAAAGAAAACGTCATTACTCTATAAATTATCGTTAATAAGAATTGATTTAGGGTGAAGAAAAGCATCTACCTACATACGTATTTGTTCTCTACTTTAGCGCTCTTTTTGCACCTATTTCTTTTCGTTTTGTGCGCTTCAACTAGACTTTCAGTTGTGCTTTTTAATATAATAAATAGGCTGTTTGAAAAGTGATTTTTAATCTACTTTCCTCTTGTTTCTTGTGAAACCGACAGTTCTGGCGAATTAATAGCAAACTATCAAGCCTACGCTTTTCGACTTCCATCAGATGGCGTTGATGAGGTTGCAATGGATAGTGTCTTTTTCAGTTTCGAAGTCGAAAAATCTAAACTCGAACGTTTTATTAACTGCTGCCGAATTTACGATTCCAAACGTTTGTAATAGAATATATCTCAAATTTTGAAGTTATGCGCTTAATTTAGTACTTTGTGTTTAATAAAAATATAACAGTTTGTTGATTTTCTCATAGAAATTGATTTTTAACAAAACAAATATCACGTGTTGAAGTGATGAGTTGATTCATCCTCAGATCAACCGAATGACCCTCGGATGAAGTTGTGTCCGCTTCCTCCATAAGACTCCAGCCGGCAATGTATGGCGTTATCGGCACACATCCATGTCGCAATTGTAGTGCAGATCCGCCGAAAACGGAGAAAATTTCGGCCCAAGAATACGTTCCCATTTTTGCTACTGGCGGGCTCTTGGTCCGTTCGTTTTCGATTGCTCTGCGCTACTCCGTGCTTTCCTCCGGTGGGCGAAGATAATCGATTAAAATTACTTCTGCTTCATTGTCTAAAATGAAAGAGGAAAAAAGAAGGAATGGAAGAAAATGAAAGAAATTAGTTAAAATTCTTCCAGATTTGGAGTTTTTCATTGCTCCCGCTGCACTGTCTCTTCCCCCCGTTTCGGAAGTGGACGGTGGCAGCCAAGCAGAAGCAGCATGTGGAGCTACAACAGTAATAATTACGGATTCACGCGCTGCTCACAAAAAGGTGTTTATGAAGGCTAATTACTTCGGTTTATCTTATTTAAATACGTTTTAAGCAATTAAGGACGCTTCAGACTGTTGGATGAGATGCCAGTTTTGTTTTGTTCATTCATAAAAGAACAGGAAATATGCCGAACATGAAGGTGAACGAATAGTTGTCTTGTAGAGTAAAGTGGGGCAAGAGTACGCACTTAGTTTTAAAATTCATGTATCTTTTTAACCGTAACATAACATACCGTGAGTCGATTCCTTCACTATTTGGCCACAATCCCTTATGGATAGACATTTGAAAAATCATGGAATTTTTCAAAAATTGTCCATTAAGTAAAAGGGCTCCGACTGCGTTTGCCCCATTGATGGGGCAATAGAGCGCATTTTATTAAATGTTTCACAAACGCCTATTTTAATCGAATGAATGTTTTCTAAATCAATAACAAATCAAAATTGAACCTTAGTTCGTCATATATACGCGCATTTTATGTGTATGACCTCATCTGTTTTCTTTGTTCAAGTGTTGAAAGCTAATGATTTTTGTGGTTAACATAAAATCATACAAATCAGATGTAATTTATATATTCGGTAATATTATTGCACTAAATCTTACTAATTAAAGATTAAAAACAGTGTGTGGTTCCTGCTTGCTTACCGGTTCGCCCTTTCCTTCAATAGCGGCGTTGAGCGAGGCAGCCAAACCAACATCGAGCAGTAGAGGTGACTTCCGACGAACAAGGGGAAGTAGGCATGCATAGTCCACATTCAATCGTGGTAGCAGAACTTCAACGCCATCGAATTTCTTCACCGAACGGCCACTCTTTAAAAATGCGAAGCAATGGGCACTTATAAAAAACTCTACACTTTATTACACGCAAACAACGACATTTAATTCTACGGACACTACATGGGTTTATTCTTAACTTAAATGAACTTATACTAAACACATTAAAATTTGGTTTCCGACGTGCGGGTCGAGCACCCGTTCTTCACCGTGACCTAGGCGATACTGATATGACCTACATCCAGGCAGTTCATCCGAAGGTCTTCAGCAGCCGACAATCCTGCGATGTTTTCCTCTCCCATGCGAGAATATCTCACGATCAGCCATCCTTCTTATCACGCCACAACGGTTGATAAGAGCGATCGTGAAATCGTACCTAACGTTTTCTCTTTCGTTCCAGTCCTTGTTTCGGTGATGATGTGATGATCATAAGTGGATGAGAGTGAGAGTGGTCCAGCTCAGGGTTGACGCTTCGGGGGGTCGTACTCTTCAACATCCTCACCCACCCAGAAAGTTCTGAAATTTCTGCAAATAAAAAAGAAAAAAAAACCTCTTCGCGGGATAGGGATAGGAAGGATGTTCATTTGTTCCGGATTGTTGACTCTGGATCATCGTTGTCGTCCTGGATCGGTAGAAGACAAATTTTCTCCACCGGACGAATTAGTAGTCCTGTAGCGGTTTTCAGGGTGACCACTCTTACGATTCCGTCTTCACCGGGGTGTACCTTGACTATCCGCCCCATCTTCCAGTGCATAGGAAGTTGATTCTCATCCCTAATGATGACTAGCGTTCCGATATCGATGGGAACAGCTGGTTTCCATCGTTTTGTTCGTCCTTGAAGCTGGCACAAGTACTCTCTTCGCCAGCGCTTCCAGAAGTCTTGCAGCCTTCGCTGGGTCAGCTGCCATTGATTGAGTCGATTGAGAGGTACGTCCGTAAAGTCTGGCTCGGGAAACGCTTGCAGTGATTCTCCAACCAGAAAGTGAGCAGGCGTTAATGGCTGTAGATCATTCGGGTCATCTGACATGGGAGTGAGAGGGCGAGAGTTGAGGCATGCTTCAACTTGAGTGAGCAGTGTACTCATATCTTCCGGGGATACTGGTGCTTCTCCTACGACTTTCAGTAAATGGGTTTTAGCCGACCGAACTGCAGCCTCCCATAGGCCACCGAAGTGTGGCGCGCTCGGAGGGTTGAAGTGCCACTGTATTCCTTCCTTGGCTAATTCCCTGGTGACAACTTCACGGTGTTCATTGTTCTTGAGCAACTTGAGGAAGTCCTGCAACTTATTCCGTGCACCGACAAAGTTGGTGCCATTGTCGGAGAAAATATCGGTACACCGCCCTCGCCTGGCGATAAACCGTCTCAGAGCCTGAAGAAATCTGTCGGTTGACAAATCCGAGACAAATTCCATGTGCACAGCCTTGGTACACATACAAATGAAAATCGCTACATAGGCTTTGACTGCCGGACGCCTTGGAGCGAGCCTTACATAGATTGGACCAAAGTAGTCCACACCCGTCCGTGAAAAGGGTCGAGATACCGTGACTCGTGACGATGGTAGATCCCCCATCTGTTGTTGGACTGACGATGGTTTCGAGCGGAAGCACGTCTGACATCTGTGGATTATGTTCCTCACCGCACTCCTTCCTCCTAACGGCCAGAAGCGAAGTCTTACAACACTTAACAGTAGTTGTGGTCCAGCGTGTAGCAGTCGCTCGTGGTAGTGTCGTAGCAGCATGTGAGTGAATAGATGCCGTGCTGGCAGTACAACCGGATGCTTGGTTTCTTCCGTTTCCATGGAATGCTTCAAACGGCCGCCAAGCCGAATTAGTTGATCCGTCGATATGAATGGATTGAACCACCGCAACGCCGATCCTCTCGCAACTGCCTCCCCTTTGGACAACGCCTTCCATTCTGTCTCGAAAACTTCCTTCTGAACCAAGCGGACCAGGGTGTTTTCCGCCTCCTTCAGCTCTGCCGACGACAGGTACGCTGGGTAAATCCTCTCCATTCGCGGTGTTCGTAGAAGCTTCATATAACGCAGCCAATATGCTGTACAACGAGCAAGATCTGTGTAGGACGAGAACTTGCTGAAGTACGTTTGGTTGAATTTGGCGAATACAGAAGCTGGTGCAGCAACTACAGTCCGCCTTTTTTCTTCATCTCCTTCTCCAGTTGGTGAATTATGTGGCAGGCTTGGCCATTGACCTTCTTCTTCCTCTAGCCAGCTCGGTCCTTGCCACCAGAACGAATTGTTCACGATATCTTCCGGTGAAATCCCTCTGGAGATAAGATCTGCGGGATTTTGAATTCCTGGAACGTGTCGCCATTGAGATTCCTGGGTAATGGACTGTATTTTTGAAACTCTGTTTGCAACGAAGGTGGTCCAGGTCATTGGAGGAGCTTCTATCCAACGCAGAACGCAGGTGGAATCTGTCCAGAAAAACGACTTTCCCTTGAACCGAATCGATTGTGCAACCTTTTCAAAGAGCTCTGACGCAAGGAGCGCCCCGCACAATTCCAGTCGAGGAATTGTTTGACATTTCAACGGCGCTACCCTTGATTTGGAGGTAAGAAGACGAATTTTCACTTCTCCGTTGACATTCTGGCTCCTCATGTACAGACATGCTCCATACGCCTTCTCCGAGGCATCCGAGAAACAGTGGATCTCCGTCGAGACAGCATTCGAAGTGATGACACAACGGTCAATGCGTATTTCATTGAACAGTGGTAGCTGTTCGTGGAATTTTCTCCAGGGCTCACCCACCGTCGATGGTAGCGACTGGTCCCAATCAAGCCTTTGACCTTGTCCGTCACGTAATGCCCATAACTGTTGCATAAATATCTTGGCCGATGTTATGGCAGCTCCCAACAGCCCCAGAGGGTCAAACAGTGTGGCAATTACTGACAGCACGTATCGTTTAGTGAGCGGTGTATCAGGGTTCAGACTAGGAACTGAAAACTGGTACTTGAGAGTATCGGAGACTGGCATCCAAGTTAGCCCCAGTGTTTTGATTGAGGGATCTGGATCCAAAACAATCCCTTCTGACGACCGAATCGCCAGGTCTTCCTCCGGAATGCCTTCCAGCACCGCTGGGCAATTCGAAGCCCATTTCCGTAGCTTGAATCCACCACTTGACATCATTGTGTTTAGCTGTACCCGCAATGTGGTTGCTGTTTCTTCGTTGTCCGCCCCTGTAATGACATCGTCCATGTAGGTGTCATCGAGAACCGCTCTCGCTGCGAGTGGATATTGTGCCTCTTCATCCAAGGCTAGCTGTTTGAGCGTTCTTGTCGCCAGGAAAGGTGCCGATTTAGTACCATATGTCACGGTGTTGAGCTCGTACAGATGAACACATTCCGCAGGTGAAAAGCGCCACAGAATGCACTGCAATGCACGTTCCAGTAGGTGAACAAGAATTTGTCGGAACATTTTCTCAACGTCCGACACAAGCATGATTTGTTTTGTCCGACTGCGGAGTGTAATGGATCGAAGGTCCTCCTGAATGACTGCCCCTGTCATTAGCACGTCGTTGAGTGATACTCCGTTGGATGTCTTGCACGACGCATCGAAAACCACCCTCACCTTGGTGGTGGTACTTGCCTCCTTGATGACTGGATGGTGTGGGAGGAAGCACCGTTTATCCAACTCCGTATCCGCTTCAACCACCTCACGCATGTGACCGAGCTTGATGTAGTCCTCCATAAACGCATTGTATTGTTTCCGAAGCGATGAATCCTTAGCCAGTCTGCGTTCCGTTCCTTGGAGACGCCGGTATGCGATGTCCCTTGACTCGCCCAACCGTGAGACGGCGTCTTCATTCATCGGTAGTGAGACGGTGTACCGACCGTCCGAACCTCGTTGTACTGTGCTGACAAAGATGTCTTCACACCGTGTTTCCTCCGGCGAGTGAGCCTTGCCTGACTCAACCTCCTCACAGGACCAGAAACGAGAGATCAATGCATCTAACTCATCCAGTGTCGATACATTGCATGTGGTTTGGTTGACAAACAGGTTCTATCATTTTT